AAAGCGCTGTCACCAACACCAAATGGCTCAATACCGGTCAGCTAACACCGTTTCGGTTTCATCGTTCTTCATTTCGCAGACTTAACTTGCTGGTTTGATTTCCAATATGCTGCTCTTCATTAAGTCAATATGAGACAATGAGGATAGCAATGAGGACAAGCCAGTGTTGCAGGTCCTCCTCCCCAACTTCCACCCCTCCCTCCCATTATATGCATAGCGAAAATCTCACGGAGGGGTTATTTGTTCAGCTGCCTGGGGTGGTGATTCATTGCTCCCCAATTTGTAAAAACAGGGCCTTTTTTCCTCCCAGAGATTGTACTGACTAGTTCTACTGCATTCCTAATTTATTTCCTCCATTTAGCTTCTGTAAATGAAGAGTAGATCAGAAATGTTCGAGTGTACTTAGTGAATTTTAATGTAAAACAAAAAGATTAGAGGACATTAGAACTTTTTTCTCGTATTCTCATTCTACTTCGAAGTAAAATATTCAGTTGTCTCTCAAGTTTAACGTGTCTGTACCACCAAATTGACCATCCTAATTGGTTCATTTCTTTCATTCCCTTAGACTCAATAAATCTGTTCAGGACACGATTTGGCGCAACAATCTATCGCGATTGGTCAGAGAAGTCTCCATATTTACGATAAGAGACTCAGCAAGAAAAACAAGACAAACATGTTAATGAAGAAATTCCCTTTTATATGCAAGCGATTGTCGGAGAGATCTTGAACTATCTCTCCCTAATTTTTTGGTATTGTAATCATTCCATAAATCCAAAAAGCAATAGGTTTAAAGCTCTTCCGTGTTTGAATCATCAAAGAAGAGTGATTCCAGATCAAACTGGTCAATTACGTCAAATATATGCAGAGATTAAGGTCAAGTGAGCTCAGCACGTTCTCAAAATAACGGGGAGAATTCAATCTTCCTTATTTCAAGAAGCTGCAAAAGTCCCACGAGACATTATTGCAAGCATTATCTTTAAGGCTCTAAAGCATAGTCCCTATTTGTTGGCAATAGATTAGGAACTATTAACTTATGTCCATGTTGGATTGCCAGTACATCGTTTTATGTCCGGCTTCAAATATCGCAGTCCCCCCAGCTATTCATTTATCGCCTTCAAACAGTACTGCTACCGAATAAGGAAGATGCAAGTATAAGTAACATGCTCATCGATGCAGGCTCCTCAGTCCTCACAGGTTTCTGACATCAATTCAGGGCCTTAAATTTTGTCATTGACACTTCGCTAACAGCTTACCAACTTTTATACAAGCGCATACTTCACATGCATGAGTCTTGGAAAGACCTCGAGGATGACTTGAGCACATCAACTGCTAGTTTTTCATTAACATCCCTCACTACAACAGAAGATATGTCTATTCATAAATCGAGCTCTAAATTTGGAGTTTTGATACTGCTCGTCCTTCTCAGCAAACCAGAGAATTATAGCAATACTGCGATACTATCAAATATTTATTTAACTAACACCTGAAACACCCCAGATTGACAAGTAAAAACCTCATTTTGGGTAAAGATGTAAAGAAAAGAAAATCTGGTGCAAAATCACCGAGACGCTTAACCTGAAAGTCACTCGTAGGCTACTGGACTCACAACCTCAGAGTGTGCCTGCGCATTACGTGGTGTCAAACAACTAACCTCTTGATTAATTTGACATTAACTGATGCCTTCCTTGAATAAAAATGCTAAGTTCACTTCACGGGGTTGTGACCTTTTCATTGACAAATGAGAGAAGGGTAGACAACTTTGTAAAGAAGAAATTGTTTACCAACTCTTGTTTACGCCAAGACGACCTTTAGA